GTAGGGAAAAAAAAGGATGTTATTAATAACAAAGATTCAGTATAAAACCAGCATAAAACCATTACAAACAAAGTAACAGGCCATGCAAATAAGAAATATTTCTCTTCCAAAAGCAAAACCTGAACAATTATTTTCAGATTCTCAACAGATGAATATGATCCAAATATATATATTTTCAGACAAAGTACTGTTGGAGATTAGAGTTAGTCTAGACAATTTTGGAAAAAAAACCCCAACAACAAAACACTAAGATTGAAATTGTATAGCAAAGCAAAGGCTTCTAAACAAGAATACTCGTTAGCAAGGCATAATTATGAGGTTACAATTCCCCAGGAGATACCATGTACAGAACTATGCATGGCACGGCTGTGAATCAGAAATTCCTAATATCAAATCTGGCTTTCTCACTAGCTCACTTAACCTCTAGAACTAGTAAGTCTGCATATGTCGTCTTCTACTGCTCATTTTATAAAGAAAGCTTTTACAGTATAATAGAGAGTCACTGGAAGTGCATTTCAGAATTTTTCACTTACATACCTGCAATTACAGCAGTATGATTTTCCCCACATGTAATGTTACATATTTTATGCCTCTTCAAGTGTTTCACAGACTTCGGTACTGAAGTTTCAAAAATAAAAGTACCATGTCCCAGCTGCCCATATTGTCCAAGTCCAAAAGTATATACATCTGTCTCTGAAAATGTACAGGCAAAGTGAACAACAAATATGCTTATATATACATTATAACCTGCTTTCTATTAGCCAAGTGAAAGTCAAATGACATCAGCGTCAAAAAGCAATGTTTTACCAATTAAAAAATGTACCAACTAGTCAATTAAATTTATCAATTAAGAACAAAATAAAACAAAATAAAAAACAGGCAATGAAGCACTAAAATATATACAGAGAAGAATTTTGAATGGTTCAATATGCAATATATTTTCTAACATAACTGCAAAATAATCCACTGATCACATGTACGCAGAATATCAGCTAACAAAAAATTTATGGGAGTTTACATACTGCAGTTAATTCAAGACCACATTGTTTACATATATGTGCATTTTCAAGTACAATAGTCTCATCTTAATTTCTGGTTACCTGCATGTACACTGTATAACCCTAAATTTAATAGACTAGATCTTTTCAAACCAATACTAATTTGTGTGCGGGAAGAGACTGGAACAATAACAGAATAGGTTTCAGTATTCTGTTCGGCTACCAAATCAGCCCTGCATTAAATACAGAGAACACTATAATTGTGTTATCTTGTGACAGAGTAATAATCTTTCCACATTTACATTTTGTCCATTTAATGGATTGTCTGTGCCAGGAAAAAGAATGAGAGCTTCTCCAAAGCAATAAAGATTCTTGGTGTGTCCATCCCTGGCACTCCATCACAACAGAGGAAGACTGTGAAGCTTGGAAATCTTGATGAGGTCACGCTTGAAAAGGGAAATTCAAAGACTAAGTTTTTTTGGGAAAAGGAGAAGTTTTCCTGGAATTTTATCCCTTGCCCCTTTTTTTTCTGCATGTAGGCAACAAAGGAAAAGCTAGAGAAGTACTAATTAAAACTTGAAAAATTGTTATGAAAACCTGTGAAGGATTGAGAAGGACAAAAAATATTCTATGTCAAGCGAAAAGAACTGAGACTTGGGAGCAATATATCGTTACATCATTGTCATGAATATGGTGCAGAGCATGCCTGCTCCTGCTGCACAGATGCCATCAGGTCAAAAATCTCACCACCTTCAAAAGCAAGAGAGGAATGGGTATCCACAGTTGACTGTGTGGAACGACAGTCGACAGAGAATCTTTGCTTTTTGAGCACTTCTTTGTGTCAAGGAAACAAGGTCACTGGAACAGCAAAGTAAGTTTCAGTGCCACAAAAATAGTTTATACTGTGCGACCAAATTCTCAGAGCAGCCACTAACTGGAGAAATATTAAAACCAAATTATGTTACCATTCCCTCAAACTAATCCTTCACTACTGTCAGG